TAATTGATAAGGAAACAAGAGAAAAAACTTGCCTCATGTAGAAGTCAAGCTGGTTCCAGTGGAATAATTTGCATGGTAAACTCTCTGTGCATGAACTGAAAAGTTTGAGATTTGTAGGTATACAGAGATTTTTTTATTTATTTTTTTTTAATTTTTTAATTTAGATTTCAACAATGGCTCTTAATCTAGAAAACAGAGGGGAGATGAAACTAGCACTCCAGTATGTCCCACACCCCATTGGAGGTAAGCATTGCTGCTTTGCTTGGGTTTGTCAGGCCTTTGGGGGTTTTGTTCTTTTTTTCTTTTTTTTTTTTTTTGTTAAAAAAATCTGTTTAATGTTTTTCAGTCACTTCAGACATCTTTTTTTTAACATAAAAGAAGATTTTCTTTTTTATTCCTAGAGGATTAAGTCACCCTGGTTGTGAATTCAGTTAAGGATCCCAAAGATCACTTTGGGATCTTTTGCTGGTTTTAAGGCTACTATAGAAGAAATTAGCTCATTGTTATAACCTAAGATTTGTAGTGCAATGTATGTGTTGTTTTCTCAATAATTTTAGAGATTATAAATCATCAGGCAGGGCTGTGATGTGCTAAATAAACAATGACAACACACTGAATCGAAGCAATATTAGATGTAGGAAATAGAAGTAAGTATTCAGAATACAAAAATTTATAGCAGTATGATCTGTTTGGTTTAATCTTGTCTGACAACTGACAATGGACAGATCTGAGAGTGAAGCTAGGCCAGGTCTTTAATCCAGACAGTCAGTCAGTCAATAAGAATCAAATATATTTAGAACACAAAGGAGCTTTTTTGAAAGCATGAGTGGCAATAAATGCTAACATCACATAGCATGAAGACAAGCTGATCTCTTTATCTAGGAGGCTTGGAAAGAGAAGACTAGTAGCTTGTTGTAATAAAAGAAAATTTTTTGTAGGAATGCAGACATGATGTGATCTTGTACTACTTTGATGGGATGAAGATTTCAGCTTCCAGAGTACAGAGAGCGATGTTGAATTAAGATGTGAGATAAGTCTAGGCTGAATATCACCTCTACAAATGGGCAGGAACTGCTGCATCATAGAAACTACCTTTAAAAGTGATCTGCTTAAGCAGATGTTTTATTTTTACAGGAAAGAAGACTCTATCTACTGGTGAGGTTCACATCTGGGTGAAGGAATGCCATAACCTTCCTCTTCTGAGAGGAAACAGGCTTAACTCTTTTATTAAGTGGTAAGAATTGTTGAAGGCATCAAACATGGTGGACTAATAATGCTACAGTTGTGTTTTCTAATTGTATCTTCATTTTTCCACATTCATATTAAAAAATCCCCACTGAATTGTTTTCTGATTTTCCTTTACTGTCACGCAAATTCTCCTGCAGGGCTTGCAACTTCAAGATGGTAAGTATATACCACCAAGTAAAAGTTACTGGAAGAATGTCCTGTGTAATTACTGCACTTTAGTTTTGTCTCTGTTACTTGGTGGAAGGACAGGTCAAACTCCGCCTGCTTTTATTCGCATTTAAACAAAGTGTGTTTGCGCAAGACTTTGGTTTAGCTTAGCAAACTGTGGGAGGAGACAGAAATGAGAAGCATAGCTGTATTTCTTCCCCCTTCCTTTTCATATGCAGACTAAAAATGTAAAGAGACAAGAATAACAAGATGGTTGGGGAAATCTCTGGCAGCAACAAAAGGTTTTGGTGTCAGTATAATACAGCAAGTAAACTCACTTGTACCTCTTCCCCACTTGACTTGCCCTTCCATCCTCTGAAGCACAAGGGGTGGATACATGCTGCCAGTATTGCCTGTAAGGAACTGAGAATATGACCCTTGTCTTCATCTCCAAAAAGCATCTGATCTTCAGTCATGTTCTAACATGCCAAGCACAACATTAATCGGTAGCTTTTGTCTTTTCAGTATGTTTAATGCAGGCTATGGTGTATAAGTGCGAACTGACAGTGTTTTTTCTTTCTGAAGTACCATTCTTCCAGACACTAGCAGAAAAAGTCGCCAGAAAACAAGGACAGTTGCAAAAACTACAAACCCAGTATTCAACCACACCATGGTGTATGATGGCTTTAGACCAGAAGATTTGAAAGAAGCCTGCGTAGAACTCACAGTCTGGGACCACAACAAACTAGCAAACCACTTTCTGGGAGGTCTCCGGATAGGTCTTGGAACAGGTACTGGACAATTACCACATTAATACTTAATTTATTAAATAGTCTTTCCGGGTTTTTTTTTCCTTATTTCTTTTCCATTTCTTCTTGTTTTGAGAAGATCACTGAATAACCTTTCAGTTATCTATTTACTGAAGGGTTCCATTCAGAAGCTTACCTATTCTTCAGCACAGATCCTGAAATGTAAATAATAGTAGTGTTAGCACGACTGACAACTAAGGCGAAATATTAGAAATAAACCTTTGTCTGGGCATAAATTGTATCTGGTATTGTTTTGATTACAAGAATATGCTATTCCTGCACCCAAAATTGTGATAACATCTTACAAACTTACGCATGCAAAAACTAGGTGTGTGGTGTAAAGACAGCATCATGGGGTGGAAATAAAAGGATAGATGAGGAATGCATGATAAGATTTGAAGATCTTGAATAGGAAAAATTATAAATGCAAATAAGTTTTTAGCATAAGGGGAATATAAGACATGCAGATATAATAGGAGTAAAAACATACTGTTCTTCTATTTGTCCCTTTCATTCTGCTCTCTGGTCTGAAGGGAAGATAGTTTTGGAGTCTTCTCAAAAAATACAATGTAAAAATTACCTTTCATAAATTAACTTCTTGCATAGTTCACCAGAATAACCTAAATTACAAATTAGAATAGTAAATCTCAATTTGAATTTTAGAATACTCAAGGTTCCATTTCAGTACAAAAATCAGTATCTTGTTTTATTATTAAATCTTCTCAGATGTATGGGAAATTAACATCTTTCTCCTTGGGATTGTGACAAAAAATTAAGGATAACAAGGAAAAAGTCTGGAGAAAGATGACAAAGTCTCTGTGTGAAACTGTCACTAATTGTATTTGATAGAAGTGTTCAAGAGCAAAAACGCAGAACTGGATCTCCAAAGCACTAGGTCAGCTACCTCAGGAGGTGTAATCATTTTAGAGCAGGCAGATTTGATTGTCTGCTCTCAACTCTGCAGCATATTAAGTAACGTTTCTCTTAAAACTGACATTTTTCTAGGCAAAAGCTATGGAACTAGAGTAGACTGGATGGATTCCACTTCAGATGAAACTGCCCTTTGGGACAAGATGATGAACTCTCCAAACACCTGGATAGAAGATACACTACCTCTCAGGATGCTTATGGTTGCAAAATTGACAAAATAAGGTGGCTTTTTAATTGCTAGTGTCAAAAGGAAACTTTGGGAATAAAATTGAAGGTCTGGGGGATAAAACTTGGAAGAGGAACACAGTAGCAGTTTTGACAGTTTTTGCTCTGTTGCCTTTCTGGTTTTGTGCTGTCATATGTCACTTCATATTTCAAATTAAACATTTGCCCACAGAACATTATGTAAATTTGTAGTTGTACATTTCTAGGATATGTAAGTTGCTTCTCCAGTGAAAGAAGCATGACATGAAGTGGTACTGTTGATGTCCTATTCTACAACGCGCAGAGGACTAAGTTCCAGTGTACTGTAAAAAATCAGGGTTATAAAAAGTTTGCTACATATATATGTGTTAATCATCTTGCTAGTCTGCAATGCTTACTCTTAAATAATGAAGACGTAAAGATGATTTTTTTTTTCTAGTGCTACTCATAAAGATCTAACTGTGCCAATTTTAGTGATGACAAGTATGTTGGGTATTTATTCTTTAAAGTGTGCTTGTTTGTACCTGTATCTATTAGCTTGGTTTTTCGCAAGAAGTAACTTACCTGTGCTTCAGTGCCACCATTAGGGGACTGGTGGGACTATGGTGGTCTTGGCTTGAATAGTTTTGCAGCATAAGAAATAAGACTGGAATTTGTAACTTGTAGAAATGCATGCTACTAATAAATAAATGCATGAAGTACTAGATGTATTACTTTTTAAAATAAAAAGCAGCCTATTAAGACTAAATAGGAATTCAATGTTTATTAAACCCCAGTGGTTTATGTTAACCATTCAGCATGCAATATAACAAAATGAAGAGAGAAAACATTTTTGAAAATAAATGCACATTTATTTGTTCCAACTGTGCAAATCTAAAAGCCAGTGAAATCTTGCAACTTCAGTTAGACGGGAGAAGGGAGCTCTTCACAGTTCCAACTCAATTGCTTGATTTAACTTTAGAAATTTAAATGCTACTTGGAATTTATTATACACTATGAATGGGAAAAAGGGAAGGTGCTATTCAACCTGCTGGGGAACCCACTTTCACTCTCATGAACCAGGCAGCCTGTGGAGTTCACAAATGCCAAAAGTAGTTGCAAGTCTTTGATATCTTACTGCTTCAGGTGTTTTGTATGATTGGTAGCTGCCACAGCTTCCACTTTGCCAGACAAATACACTTCTTATATGACTAGGGAACATGTGCATATGACACTTCAGAACAATGTATTTGTACTGAAATGGTAACAGCAGTTGGTTTGATTCTATATCCTTAAAGAGACACTCCTGAAAGAGTGGTTATTCTAGAAAAGAGGCACCTAAGTTATTTGTATTCACTGCCTATATGAATTAATTTTTCACCTGAAAACATATGTTGCTTTGAACATGACCTACAGTTTCACAGGATTAAAAGCCGAGATTGAGGACTTCTCCAAGCTTGTGGAAGTTCTTTCCTTTTCCAAATTTGTGTGGTTTTGAGAGTATCAGCAATGTTTGTTTGCTAAGAAACACTGCCAGCTCTTTCAGCCACCCTGGTGGGGCTGGCCCAGCTCCAACCAGCCCATATGAGGTCATGAGCTCTGGGGTGACTGAATTCAGCGTCTCACCTCCATGGAGACAGAACCTCACAGCAGGAGTGATAACAAACAGACGGGAAAGAAAATGCCTGGTAAGAAAATAGTTTTCTCTTCTTAAACCCTGCTCTTTGTTGTATTTCCACTGGATGGCCTAAACCTCTCAGTCCTTCTCCCCCTTCTCCATTATTTTGAAATGTTTTGGCAGGATCCAAGGTAGCGACAGCGGTGGGAGAGTACAGGATGGAAGAGACAGAGCTGGTGTCCGTACTGATGGTCACTACTACACAGCTCTGAAACTCTACCTGCTTCACAGGTGTTAATCCATTTTTGCTGTACATTACTTTTCATCCTTGCTTTAAACTGGTGCCTTCTCACATCCTATCTTTATCTCCAGTCAAAGCCCAGGAATTCACAAAACCTGATTATCAGCATGCTGTTTCATGTGCTGTGTAGTTTCAGGTCTGCATCCACATGAAAAACTTGTAGATGAGTTTTAGGCTAATTTTTCAAATGTCTGGGTAGCATACTGTGTGATTTGGCACCAATAATCATTTGGGTGCCTATGTAATACAAATATTTCCCTTATTTAGAAGAAACAGCCTTTTAAAATTACATGCCTTAAATAATTCAGCAAATCAGTGTCAAAACTCAAATGAGGAACTACTTCTCCAGTCACAAACTCTTTGTATCACAGGGCATTCAGTAATCATTAGCATTGTATAGATCTCTTATTTTATTCATAAATCTTTAAGTATGGGATAAGACTATTCGGTTATTTTTAATGACTAATATACTATTAAAATCTTATAAATTAATTAAAAGTCTGATGTAACCCTCCCTTTATTTGCAGGTATAATACAGAGTCTGTAGGAGAAAACAAAGGCAAAGGAGAAGGATTGCTTAAGGAATTATTTACAGATTTATCACTTACAAGCTTTTTACCTAAATATGATAGTAGTTCTTGTGGCTATAACAGCAGGACTTTGAGAAGGAATAATTAGCAAAGCTAAATCAGCAAATGAATAGGCTTGCATAAATACTAAGCCTATATTCTTGCTTTTGCTCATGGAGTCTCTAAACCTTCTTCTCCGTCCGCCTGACTCTGAACCAAAGGATGTGGGGAGGGCTATAGGGCTGTATGGTTTCAGGCTGACATTGGTTTTGGGAGGTCTTGTCCCCCCATATCAGTTTCTCCAGACTTCCAGAGAAACTCCACCAGCTTATAGCACTGGTGTTGGCCACACAACCACCGGGTAATGTTTAATCATGCTGAGTGTCACTAAGAGAAGCAGCCACTATAACATTTTTTCTTGTCTTTGTGTGAGACAGGGGCTCCATGGCTCAGGATGAGAGAGGAGCAGGGATGGCCAACTCTACAGGTGATCTAGAGACAAGCAAAGACATGGATGATCTGACAAAAGGCCTTGAAGAACTCTGCGATATCTCTAAGGAGAGGAGGGAGAAAGCACTGCTGCTTTTACATCTAGAAGAGCAGCATCATTTAATGTCTATGCTGACAAAGAAAGCAGATGACACACAAAAACGCTGTAGGGCCCTGGAGCAGCTCAACATGGAGCTGGAGAAACTAAGGACAGAGGATGCTCTGAAAATTAAAACTCAGACCCTGAAGATTCAGCATTTGGAGGGGCGCTTCATGGATCTGGCCAACAACCGTGAAAAGATGATCCAGTTCAAGAACGAACACAGGAAACGGCACATGCAGCTGTGGGAGGAGAACAAGCGCCTGCGGCAGGAGAAGGAAGTGCTCTTCAGCCAGGCTGTGAGGGAGAAGGAAGCTGAAGTGCTCCGGCTGGCTGCCCAGGCCAGGAAGCTCTCACAGCAGTTATACTCCCTGCAGGAGAAACATGCTTATGAGAGTTGCAGAGCCCGGGAGAGAGAAAAGGAGCTGCTAGAAGCTCAGAGCCACCAAGCAGGTGCCTATACCCGGGAAGTGGATTCACTGAAGAAGCAGCTGCAACTCCTACAGGAGAGGCACCAACAAGCTGTTGCAAGGGCAGAGCAGGCAGAAAGTCAGCAGAGGGCTCAGAGCACCGAACTGTGGGCTCAGCTGGAGAGGGCACACAAGGAAAAAGAGCAGCTATTGAACCTGGCCATGGAGAGGGGCAAAGCTCTGCAAGATAAGGAACGGGAGATTCAGCAGCTGGGGGAGAAGCTGGAGCTTGCGGAAGAAGCCATGCAGAGAGCAGGAAGGTGCTGTGAGAAAGAGGTAGCAGCAGTGGACAAAGATCTGAAGGTCCAACAGCTCCAAGGACAGCTGGAAAGCAGCAAGCAGGCGTACAACGAGCTCTCTCTGCGGTTCGATGCTTACAGAAAGCACAGTATGGACTTGCTGACTAAAGAAAGAACACTGAATGTCAAACTCCGTCACTTTGTTGCATAACTGCATCGTTTTCCACTGTTCTCTCCTTGGTAGGTGCCTCTGTGGCAACACATCACTGCATTTCGTTCCTTTCCGTGGGGCCATCTTCTGGATTCTTTGTAATATCCTCACCAGTTTAAACCTCCCTACAAGGACTGGTTTTTGTCATTACACTTTTACCTAAGTAAATCTCTACACTGTTAAATCTGAACGGCTATTCATTAGTGTGGAAAATGTAAAATAGGAATTTTATCAGTTTGCTCCTAATCTCTGCTGAAACATAGGTTTTCTTTCTTTCTTTTTTTTTTTTTTTTTTTTTTTTTTTTCATTTAAAATCATTTTTTTTTTTGAGATGGCCAAAAGCTCAAACCCTTAGCCTTTTGTCCTTGATTCTTCCTTGAAGTTCAACAGACGCTGGGCATGTAAGAGGCAACACTGAGGCTCCAAGAAAGAAATCCCACGTTGCACTGTCTCCATCATAAACAGTCATAATTCAGGAACTTAACAGGTTAAATACAAGAACAAGTAATACACAACAACTGATGGCCAAGCAAATTACCGTGTATAGTTTTCTAGTAGTTCTACTGCAGTTTTCTAGTAGTTTTCTGCAGTTGTTTTAATCTTGTTTAATGCAATAGCATTATTTATATGCCCATTCAGCCCAAAATAAATTGTCAAGTCTTTTGGGTGATTTCAATAATCTTTGAAACAGATTGAGGTTCTGGATGCTCTGCCAGGATTTTTTTTGTGGTTTTAGGTGCTTTCTGTAGAAAAATAGTGATACACCCTTTCATTTTGTGTATGTCTGGCAGTTTTTGCCAAAAACAAAATCTTTCCTGTCAGCATTCTGGGATACAGAGACCTCCCACCCTCTCTTGCTTGTCTCCTAGGCAAGGAGGTAGTTTTTAGCTGCTGAGGTTCATCTGCTGCTCTTTCAGCCTCCAACAAAAAGAAACACAACAAAACCAAACAAAAACCAACAAAACATAATGGGCCAATCCCCCACCAGATCTGTAGGCAGCTGCCTCGGGAGTTCCCCAGGTTCTTTGTCACATGCATATACCTTGAGATAACTCAAGGATTTAGATAATAGCTTGAGTATCTCTTGGTCCTGAACATCTACAAAGCCACAGCATCACATCAAACTTGGTATCTATTGATCTTGTGTACAGAAGTGATCAGAAACAGCAGGTCTGGAGATCTTCCAGCCTGTGACCTGTTCATCTCAAGGCCTTACTGAACCAGATGTATTCTCTAGCTCTGGCACAGGTTTCCCAAAGAAGCTGTGGGTGCCCCATCCCTGGAAGTGTTCAAGAACAGGTTCCATGGGGCTTTAAACAACTTGATCTAGTGGAAGGTGTCCTGGCCTAGGGCAGGGGGTGTGGAACTAGATGGTCCCTTCCACCCCAAACTGTTCTGTGATTCTGACTCATTACATAAGTAGTAGCTTCCAGCAGACTTGTCTTCTGAACTTCTCTGTATTCTCCTTGAATATTTCTCACTGGCTGCTGTATGACAAACCACAGCATTTCTTTTGATCCTGGCTCCTACAAGTGTCATTCCACATGTTTTACGGACTACATCCTCCTACTTTTCAACCATACTTCCCCCTTCTGTGCCCATCCCACGTGCACATTTAATTTCAATGCTGGCATCTAGAGTGTAAATGCCAACTGACCCAGGCTACACATTAGACTCATGGTCTGAGGAAGGAATACAGCAGGGCTAGAGCTGGCTGCTCTGTTTGAATTAGTTGGTAGGCAGGGAAGAGTGACTGTATCCCCGCAGTCACTGCAAAAGACTCTGAGACCAGATGCCTAAATACTCTAAATCAGGGCAGAGGACACCCACTCATTGTGTGACAGAACAGTCTCACAGGCCTCTGTGCATGGTGGTGGGAAAGCCCCCAAATCCTGCAGTCCCCAGGGACATGCCCTCTTCCTTCCCTTGGTGATGTCTATGAGCGAGAGACCTTCCTCCCTACTCCCTCACCTAGCACACCCCCCCGCCACCTCCATACGCCCCAAACCCCATCTCCTGTACACTTCTCATCCCCCTTAACTACACATGCCTCCCTTCCACCCCCTACTCTCACACACCCTGTTGTCCACAAAAATTGGATTCATGATATGCAACAAGCCAATAATTACACACTCGAGAGAGATGTTATTTATTTCAGAGTTGCAGAACCCTGGGTGCGTGGTGGTGTTCCACAAATCAAGAACACCAACTATCAAAACTTTTAAGTATTTATACATTTTAGCAAACAAAGGCATTAGTGTTCATTGGCTTCAAGTTACAAAGGTCTCTTATTAATTGGTATTCTATCTGGTTAATGATTCTCTGGCTTCTTATATCAATTAGTCCACATGCTCAGTCTTTCTCTTCTTTTGGGTCAGTGGGCTGCGAGCCAGTGGTCGTGATCACCTCCTGCTGGAATTACCTTTTACCCCATTAGAGCTGATTTCAGCACAATTGCCGACTTGGGTTTATTGGTTTCTTTCTTATCTCGGGAGTTCTGCCAGATGCCCTTGTGGCCTGTAAATTCTGCGTTCTTTGTGTCCGCTATCAGTGGCACATCCTTCTCCCCAGGCTCTGTTAACCTCCCCCTATGTCTGAGATCCTTGAAGCATGTTAAGCCCTAGAGCTTAACGAGACAATTCTACCGACAAGTAATTTGTCTTTCTAACACCTGGACATCACTCAGAGATGGCTTGCCTGCCGCCTATCTGTTTCACTGATTAAATCTCCCTTCTCGCTGATTAGGCTTGAAAGTGTACGAAGACCAAACGTCCGAGACCATCCTTTCTTAAGCAAACGTTTGCATTTTCCCCAGTTTGAAATGCCCTCCGCACCCATTCACACACGTTTCCCCTTACGCCTCCCCGCCCCCTCCATTCCACCTTCCCGGCCGCCGCTTTCCCGCGCGCGGGCGCAGTCGCGCGGCGCCCCCTCCCGCCGCTTCCCGACAGGCCGCGCGCCGGGAGCGCCGGGCCGCAGCCTCGCGCCGGTTCCTGCCCTCGGGCATCGTCCCTTCCCGTCCCGCCGGGCCCGCGCCCGCCCCCGCCATGCGCCACAGCCTCACGCAGCTGCTGGCGGCCTCGGCCGGCGGGACCAGCCCCTCGGGTGCCGCGTGGCCGCTGCCCGGAGCGGGGCAGGCCCCGAGAGGGCGGGATGTCGGCGGGGAGGGGGACCCGGGCCCCGCGCGGCCCAAGCCCCCGGGCGCCTCGGAGCCGCGGCGGCAGGAGAAGGAGGCCGAGGCGCCCAGCGGCCCGCTGGAGGTGTGGGAGCAAGAGGACTGGTTCCCGGGGCTGGAGCTGGGAGACCTGCTGGAGGCGGCCCGGCCGGACTGGGACCTGGAGGCGGAGCTGAGCGGCTGTTTCTGTGAGGAGCCGGAGCCGCTGCCCCCGCCGGGCCAGGGCTCGCGGCCAGCGGTGCCCGGGCGGCGGAGCGGCGGGGCCGGCAGCCGGCTGAAGGCGGCGGCGGCGGCGCGGCTGAACCGGCTGAAGAAGAAGCAGTACGTGCTGGGGCTGGAGAGCCGCCTGCAGGGCCTGGCTGCCGAGAACCGGCAGCTGCGGGACCGCAACCGCGGCCTGAGCCGCCGCCTGCGAGAGCTGGAGCGGGAGAGCAGCTACCTGCGGGCCGTGCTGGCGAACCAGAGCGCGCTGGGGCAGCTCCTGAGCCGCCTGGCCGGGACCCGCGCCGGCGGGCTGCAGCTCAGCACCAGCCTCTTCAGGGACACGGGCAGCCCCCGCCGCCAGCACCAGCACCTCCAGCCCGCTGGCGAGAGCAGCGACCACGACTACGCCCTGCCCAGCCCCCAGCCCCGCGGCCTGGAGGAGGCGGCCGTGGGGACTGAGGCGGAGGAGGAGTGGGCGGCCCCCGGCGGGATCTGCCTGCACGTGGACCGGGATCAGGTGTCGGTGGAGTTCTGCTCCATCTGTGCTCGGCGGGCAGCGGCCTCCTTCAAAATGTAGGGTCAAGTACCTGCTGCAAGTACTCGTGGGGTTCTCACCCCTAAGGGCCTCGCGTCGCGGCGGAGGAAACAGGCGATGGTGCGGAGGAAAAGAATCAATACAGTGGTGATGGGGTGGTATTGGGGGAGATGCAGAGAAGGGGGACCTGGCACTTAAGTGTCCAGGGTAACAGAAAAAAATCCTCTCGAACGGCACGTTGGGAGCCAGACGGTGGCCTTGGTTCAAGGTGCTGTGAATCTGGCGTGTGGACGGTAGTGGTGTGAGCCTGTTTGGCGTTAGGAGTCGCGCAGAGCTGTGTGCAGCAGTGCGACAGTGGTCGTGCAGACTGACACGCGTGGTGCACACGCGGAGGTGCCGCCGGAGCCCGGTCGCAGCACTTGGGTGAAAAGATCATGCCGACCCGATGCATGAAGGTGTGCTCGGCTCCGCTTCGCAGTAAAGATAACGCTGACTACCCGGTCTTGAGTCAGATAATGTCTAGCCTGCTTTCCTGAGGAGCCGAAAATGCTTGCTTAGAAAACCAAACCAAAAACTCCATCGTCACTGGACAGACTTAAGAAAATAGTAATGATCGGCAAAAGAAAGCATGCATATAAAATTGTACTGCATCTCAGTTATACATTACTATTAAAACCTCTCTGACAGTTTCTCTTTTAGGTGCTTGCCCTGCCAGGCTCCGTTGTGTAGGGGTTAAAGAACAGTCGTTTTCCACCTCGCAACCTGGTAAGGATCAATATATTCCCATAATGCGGTATCAGACAGCTTGCTTTGCTTATCCCAGTCTCTTGTAATGACTGGCTCAGGAAATAATTTCTCTGGTCCTTGGCCTACTCTGCCGAAATGTTTCTAGCTCTCCATGGTAACTAATAGTGAAAGCTACAATCACATCATTCTCATTAGCTGTTTTCCCCTTTTCGAAACCGATACATTCACTACATAGCCAACACACAGCTACATTTGGAATTAAAAAAATGCTCATGCCATTTGAAATAGAAATTTTCTATTAAACCAAGTATCTGATGAGCTGAAAAGGGAAAATATGCTAATAAAGGGGATGTGCATTTATAGCTTTAATCACAGGAGACTGTCCCAAAAGTGTGAGTACCTTGCTTTTTAAATTGATTTAAAAAAAATAAATTTGTGACCTGTTGGTTTAAAATACTGTCCAGTGTTAGGGATGCACAGTACCTTTCAAAAGTCCTTCTCTAGCTTGCTCTAATTAATGATGCAGGGTTATGCCTGATTAAACAGAACCTGAACACTGCTTAATCTGTACAGTGGAATCCTCATGTAGAGGAGTCAGTCTTTTGCATGGACCTCTAACGAGAACTGGGTTTGAAGAATGCAGTGCATCGAAGTAACTCGTTACTTTATCTTCCCTTAAGTAAATCTCTGTGCCCATGCACACTGAAATTCCTATGTTACTTCAGAGTAGCTTTAAAGTCTAAAAAATATTGCGTGTATATGCATGTGCTTAATTTCACTGTAGAGTTCTTAATTTAGCCTCTTACAGTATCCAGAAATCTATAAGTTGATACAATTAAGCACAGTTTGGAGATAAGCAAATATGTATCTTGAGGCTAATGATTTGAAAAATGCTCCACGATTAACTGAGATAGGAGAAAGAATAGTTTGACAAACAAATAACGTGTGTTTTCTTGTAGTAATCAGTGTTTCTCCCTATCACAAAAGATGAGTGGGTTCTTTTTTCAGTTGTATTATAATGTCTAGGTTGTTTAAATGTATGTCAGTTGGGGGAAGAAGGATTGTGGAAATGATAATATGTAAAGTGAGGTTTCACAAAGAATACTTTCCAGATCAGTTTCATTTATTAAATTCTTAAGAAAAAAATCTATTTAGTGGTTCTGAAATACTGTTTCTTAAAGCCTTAAATTTTGTGTTTAAGGCTAAGTAGGTGAAAGCGTTTTCTCCCAGTCATTTGCTTCATTGGTGCTAGACCCTATCACATGTTCATCAGTATAAAAGGAGTTTGATTTTCTTTGTGAAACATCACTGTGTGATAAAGTATATGTGTATTTAGCATCCTTGTTTTTCTTTATGCTAAAGTGGATTCAGCTGTGTTGGGGCAGAAGAGACGGGACCAGCTGCTGGCCACATTTCCTGCTTTATTTTAAAAGGTAGTATAAGAAATAAGAATAAAGAGGTAACAGGGCTTTTGCTGTCTTTGGTTAAAAAGAAAAAAGTTGAATGCTGGGATCATTTACTGTCATTCAAGATTTTTTTTTTTTAAAGGCAATATCCTATCAAACAGGTTTTACTCCACTGTATGTAGAATTCCATCTGTTCAGGGTATATTGCCAGCACAAAAGAGACTTAGTGGGATATGTGTTACCTTACACCTCTGTGGTGGATCAGCAGGGCTGTTCAAGGTTTCAGTCTTAAATTGGGTAACTGCTGTAACTGATGGGTTGTACCCGTGGCACAGGAGTCAGAGTTAACCACCAGGACCTGCACTGACTGATATGCAAAATGGAAATAATTTAGATTCAACCTAGGCTCAACCTGCCTAGCTCAGACTTCATGAACATGCTTTATTTTGCAGTTTATTGACAAAAAGAAAAACATTAATGTAGTATAGGATGTTACAGTGGCATTTTCACAGTTACTTCAGTGTAGAAGTGGTTTTTAAGTTAAATATGCATTCTTTCTTGTCGCATCACTGCTAAATGGCAGGGTCAGGGACTCAGTTCTTCTGGTCTCTGTGTGAACCCGCACATTGCTCTGTCGTGACACGACCTGTGAGCTGTGTCTGAGAGCAGCTGATTTTCTGACATGCAAAATGATGTACTGTGGTACAAGAACAAGGTTAAGTCCCAAGAAAGTCAGTGGCTGCAGGCATTTGTAGTGCCTACTGAATCATATTTAAACCAAATAGTGGGGAGGAAGCTATTTGAAACTCTTGACTGTACTATCTGTATGGTGTATTATTAATGTAGCTTTTGAAGTGAAAGCCTTGAAATGAAAAAAACTTAATACTTGAAAATATATTGTAAATGTTTCCTTGTAATTATGTGCCATCCAGATAAGAATGCAATATCATAATAAAATCAGACTTGTTGATCTTTCAGTTTATGGGCTCAAATGTTTTTTCATCTTTTTCTTCTCATTAATGTCTTGGTTCATTCAACAAAGGGGGAAAACTTGAAAATGCTGTTTCTGCTCTCTTTGTGGGTCATCCACTGAAAACAAGATAAAATGGATCAGGGTATGCAGGAGAAATGTTGCTTATCTGTATTGAAAGATAATTTTGTGGTAAGGACAAAGATGTTATTCCTTGAACTGCAGATAGAGCTGTACTTCTGAGAATCAGCACTTCTTGTATTTTATAGTTGTTTTTCTTTGTTAATTTTTTAAAATATGGATATGTTTGATCAATATACCATGGAGGAGTAAAATACATAAACCCTTCTGTGGTCTGTTGGCATCTTCCTGCTTTCTGTCCTATTTTTAGGCTCTGAAGTTTGATGACTGGTTAATAATATGTTGATGAATCACCATCTCATCAAATTGGTATTTCCACACTAAACACTGGAGTGAGTGTTTAAAACAAAAGGTTTGACGGTGCTGAACATTTTCAGAGCTCCAGAGTGAGCCATGCACTGTACTTTTTGATTTCTGTTCATCTTAAATGCTTTATTTGTAGACAGTTTAAAATAGCGCTTTCCACATGCAGGCATTCTAGTGAAAGTGGTCTGCAGCTTGATGAAAAGGAACGTTTCCCAAAAAATAGTGTAAAAATTTAAAACCATACTGGCATGCTCAGCCTTTTTGGCCTGTAGTTGCAAAAAGTACCCTGTTCAGCGTTGGAACATGTGTTTGTTTAACTTTTGTACCACAGAACTAAGTGGTGCCAGTGTTCAGCTGTGTAGCTACGCTACCTATATTTCTCAGTATTTCTCCACCCCAGAGTCAACCAAAGAAGCATTTAAAGTACTTAAATAAGAAACAATTTAATGCTCAGTTCTCCTTTAGTCCTTTATAGTTTGATTCTGGTGCTGTGACTCTTAGTACTGTTCTAAATTAACTTCTCTGTCTTTCCTCTGAAGAGCTTTGTAGCAGGAAAAAACAAATCAGTGCTTCTGCAATCTGTAGATGCCTGGAGAGATGATACCAGAAGAAGTGCAGGAAACCCTGTTCTAACACTTGGCATCTCTTCGTACTTCCAGATTATCAGATTTCTCATACCATTTGTCAAAACTATTATCAGTTTTCCCTGTGAAACAGAGGAATCTTTTGCAAAACACAAGGGGCTTTTGTACATTTACTGATTTTTAAAATTCCATGTTTTCTAGAGCTTTTAAAGAGGTTTTCTGCTGGAATCAGCAATATTCTGGTTATATTTACTATTAGACTGTAAAATGTCTGAAGGATATGTTAGGTATGGGAACTGTTCAAGGGACTCAGTTTAAAGAACACCCTGTACCAAAATTGCATATTGCCAGCTGCTGGTTCCACAGTTTTACGCCTAGTTGAAGTGGGATGTGTAGATGTGGGGAAATAATTTCTGTGGTGAAATGATTCTGTGCTCATTAGCAGGAGGATGCCAAGAGCAGGACTAGGGCGTGTACCAGGAAGATGGGCACATCATTGGCAGAGGGCTGTAGAAGAGATTGTAAAGTTGATATCCTGCATCAAAAACGGATGCAATAATCACTGAACCAGCCATAGTCATTCTTAAAGATACTACTGCAAAATAACACCTTTATTTTATGGTTTTTATTATCACAGGTAAGTGGTTCTGTTGGTTAAAGTCTGATGGCTTCTGGAGATATGACAGTACACTGTCATGTAAAATAATTGCTCCGTGAGAATCTCCAAAGTCAGGGTGGGTAAGGTAAGGCCAAGGTCTCTCTTTAGATGCAGACCAGTATGGGAACCCCACATGACACAGTAATACTTTGAATCAAGGGAAACTGAACTATCTCTGTGTAAAAACAGGTAGTCTGTGTTTGCTGCTTCCCTGTACAAATCAGGCTGCTACTCCTGGTTATAGAGAAATAGAGTGGGTGATTTTCCTGCTGTAATGACACATTATTAAGGAAAAGGTAGATAAACATGATGGAACTCCTTAATACATTTTTCACCAGTATTACAGCATAACTTTTAACCCAATTCAATTAGTCTCAATGCTGAATTCTTTAATTCTAATTAATAAATATTTCCACATGCATCTCAGGGGATGCTAGAATTTTACTAAAGTGTACATGAATTGACCAGTAACTGTACAGCTTTTACAATCACAGAATCATTTAGGTTGGAAAAGACTGAGTCCAACTTTTGACCAATCACCAACTTCTGAACTAGACCACGGCACTAAGTGCCACATCCAGTCATTTCTTGAACACCTCCAGAGATAGGGCCTCCCACCTGCCCCTGGGCCATCCACTCCAAAACGCCTTCTGTGAAGAAATTCCTCCTGGCACTTTATATTGCTTTAGAACCAATACAGTCACCAAAGTGAAGACATGCCTGACTTGTAAATTCATTACTTTAGACCACTGATCTTAGAACTTGAGGTAGCTGAGATATCACACCAGCCCTAGGAGGCCTCTTGGCACACTTCCATCCTTCGTGAAAAGAGTAATTTCAAGGCAAAAAAAGGATAAAGCATGTTCTGATTAGACTGTTTTTTGGTTGCTTGATACATATGCTGGGAAGCCTGACACGAGTATCACTCTGATTGCTGTGTGATAACAGTGTTCTCTTCAGTGTACAGTGGGACCCTCATAACAGCCTAAAGGAGGTAATCTTGTGACAGAAATTTTGTGCTAGCAGAATGGAGAAAAGGGAGAAGAATACTCAGATTTTGAGGAATATCTAGAAAACCCTTGCCATGATCCCCCTTTTTTTAAAAAAAAAATCTCAGTAGTTTGCATTATGAAGAAAAAGCCTCCTTTTTCAAGAATACTCATTTTAAGAGCTTCAAAAAGATGTAGCATCACCTTAGAGCCAAACACTAAGCAGGCAGTATAAATGCTTTCCCCCCCCCCATTTCCAAACAAACACACCTGTCTATAATGCTGTTTTTCAGATGTACACTAAGCTGGGCATAACAAAAAACTTAACCTGCATTTAAGTTCAAACCTTGAAAAATGTCAGTGCAGAATCTTTGTTTTTCTATTAAAAAAAGACAGAAAGCAACAACTTCTTTTCCTTGTTTATTATGGTCACTTATCCAAGGCAATTGAAAAGTTATTGTAGCTCTTCAGGATCCCTGCTAAGGTGCATCTGCTGTAGTATTTTGACATATATTCCGTGCTGTTTAGTGGCAAGATATAATCCAGTCAGACCCTGTACCAGTACACCCAGACTCATCTTTCTAAAGACAGGCTGAGTGACTGTGAGCCAGTAGCGTACTGCATTTTCTTTCCCTGGCAAGGGAGATGACATGTACCTAAACAACATAAACAGCGGTAGAAACTTACTTCTTTTTGCCATGCAAGTGTCAAAATTTAACATTATAAACATTTAGGTAGATAGTTATTTTCTCCTTCCTCTCCTAAGTTAAATTCACCTGGTGGTACTGAGCTCTCTGGATAGATGCTATAAAACATCCTGACCCTGTACTGAGTCTTGCCAAGCCTCGCTGTGCTCTGAATTACAGAGAATGACACCTGCCAGGGAGTTTGGCTGCCAGGCACTGCCCAGGGTCACTGAGGTCTCAGTTGTCCAGCCATCTTCACTGCTTGGCAAGATGGCAGCCACCACTGCCCACAGCCAGGCACATCCTGGGTGGCTTGTAGGGTTCCAGTTAAATACAAGTGCTTCACAGTGGATTGCTTTGCAGATCTTGTTTCATTTTGGAGGCTTGGTGTAGCTCTTACAAATTTCACCTTGTAATTAGATGACCGTAATATAAATCCCCTCCCCATGTACTACATGCCTACAAGAAGACAGGTGTGCACAGACTTAAATTCCACAGAATTTACTCTGAGAATGGAAGATTTAACCAATAAATACATTTCACTCATTACAGGTTAATAAGACATACCTGGCTGCAAGGCTTGCGTTCAAGGGGAGAGCCAGGAAAACAGGATAGAGAGCACCCACAACAGCCCCTATTAATCCTCCTCTGACCACAGCACAGACCTCACAGTTCAGCTGACCTGCACAGCAAACAATATTTCAGTCAATATCCACACATGCTCCACCACATCAATTTATAAGCTGTGTGCAAGAATGTGGAAAGAGGCCCTTGACAGAAACTGCCACACTGTACAGGCATGCAAGAAATTATGAAAGGAGGACTCTTCCTTTTACAAAAAAAAAAAACAAACACAAAACAACACTCCCATTCCAACCCACAAAGAATTTATCACTCTAAAGCTGACCTTCAAATAAAATTGTACAGATGGGGGAAACTGAGCTGCTTTGTTGCAGTTGCTTTTACATGACTTTGAGTGAAAAATCTAAAAACAAGTCGTGTAACAGAATTATTTTTATAAATCTACATAAACATGCATCTCCTTTCCCACTCCACCTCAAGACCTTACTGCTGCCCAATGCATTGTTTTTCAAACCCTGCTTTACAAACTGAGGTTTTTCAAGACCACAACAGTTCAAGAGCACTGCTCTGTAGGGAAGAAAAGCTCCTCTAGTATTATGTTGTGGATGGAAAGCAAAGCCCTTTTGAAAACAAGGAATAAAGAGGTTTTTACCTGAAAATAAAGGGCCACGCACAAAAACTTCATAAACTGCTGTTGTTGAAAGAAATGGAATAACAGCCATTGGCACAGCGGACACCAAGGCAGCCCTTCTGATATTTAGGAGGTTCCTGAAGAAATTATTTGCTGCTAAGCCACATAAGCTTGAATTTGCTGCTAGAAAGTATGATCCATGATTACAAAGGTTCCTGTGAAAGGAAAAAAAGTCATTTTAGCAATTGAGAACCGTAAACCAGTTTACTCTGTGTTACAATTCTTTTCTGAATATCCTACAACAAGGGGTAAGAGAGGTAAATCTCTCACTAGTGCAAAATAGAGAGGAACTACTTTCAAAAGCAACCAGTACAGCATCCTTTGTTACATGCCTGAGTTTACACACACTTTAAGAGTGAAATGACAGGCT